AAAACCCTCTTCTGTAATGCCTCCCTCAGCATCGTTTCAAGTCTATTTATTTATTTTAAAAAGTGAAGCCGTGAAATAAGGAATAAGAGCACGTTAATGTAGTGACACTTAAGTCGTATTTGGACGGGGAAAAATTTAAACTCCTGATAGTCAATTCATATCTCCCATACTTTTGAATTTACAAATGCAGCTATTTACATTTTTCAAAACACGGTGATTTTGTTCATTGCTTAACACATATTGACTGTTTTTTCAAAAGGTACCGTGTATAATACGTAGATAAATAATTAATCTTTCATTTTGAATTTTAAATTTTATATGGAGTGTAGATATATATAACCTTCATAAATGTTTACAAGCCACGTGACCAGTGAGCTTACACAACCAACATTGCAGGGTTGGTACTGGTAAAGAAAATTCCCTAAATCTTGGCTTCACCAATATTAATGATTCGTTTACAATGAACAATAACAAACTGTTACGCCTACGTTCTAGACACCTATCACAGCCGGCGAAACAGAATGTTGTATTTTAATGAAATCTTGATCATATTGTTTTTACCGAAATTTAATTGCCAACATGAAGGAAATAAAATTATTGTTCCAAATAAAATTACTGTGTGGCGTGTCATTTATGAAGACTCTGTAGAGACAGTTTGACCAAACTCATCTTGTCCGCCAAATGCAAGTCAGGGTGGCAGGGCGATAGTCTCAAAATAGTAACTCGCTCTTTCTGTAAAAATTAATGAACTTTTAAATATATGAAGTTTACGTTTAATATATTATTCGAAAACTGAATTTTAATTGAATCGGCATCTTTACTTCCGTTAGTAGCAATTATTTTTCCTGGATTATTATTTAATTGTAAACAATTATTATTTTTATAAGTCTACATTGAAGATACTTGATGGCTTGTTTGGTAAATCACATTCTTTTAAAATAGCTCAAAATATCCATTTCTATTCTGTTCATTCCTAATGCTCTGAACTCTACGAATAAAAAAGCTTGATTATCTCTTTTAACACAGCTGTAACCAATCATTTCGCGCTATTTTTTTTTGTCTTGACCTAATGATCTTATTCAATAAATCAAAAAATATATAATTCTGATTCTTTTTTCCTTTCTGAATCTACTTTCAAAAGGTGCTACAATTTTCGCGCATTGTAGAATATGAAATTTATATTTTGGCATAAATAGAACACTACAGGGTGTCCCACGGTGACGAGACATTAGACATATTTCAGAGACTAATGATTTTAATTTTGAAAATTTGGGCAATAGTTTTTTCGGGCATGCCCTTCTCAATTAAAATAATGGCGTCCACCTGACGCTTCCGGTTATACCGGAAGTTGACGTCATCTTCGTTATTTTAAATGGGACACCCTGTATATTATTGCAATTGTGGGTTCTACGTCAATTTGTGCTAGGTTTCCTATTCTTAAAGTTAACCGTTTTTGATATATGTATTTAATTTTTTTCAAAATAGGGGACAGAACTAAAACTCTAAGCTTCCTTCCCATAATTTCAAAATGATTTAATTTCATTTCAGTGGTAGAAATTTAATGCCGAATGTAAATTTTTAAATCGTTTATGGGTTCTGTATAAAGAAATGTCGATTCTAATTTTATTTTTCATTAACTGTACTATTTAAGAATTCTTAAAAACAATCAATTTAAAGTATTTTCTAAAAACAACAAAATTTATTTGTTATCGTTTCATGAAATATAAGGCAACTAATAAAGGAATGAAATTGTTGCAAAACAGAAGATAGTTTGAAAAAACAATGAAAGCAACAACAATCTTAAATAAGTAATACAAAGTGTTTCTGAAACACGGTTCCAATGTTGATTGTTTGAAACAATGTTGTAAGTAAAAAAATTTCTATTAACATGAAAACATTTAATAAAAAAGATCTCAGATAAATAATTTCAAAATGTTTAATTAGACCCAAGGATTGCAGGGGCTTTTTATCTAAAAAATTAATAATAATACATTTTTCTTAAAGAGGATATAGGTATATTAAGGGTGCAATATCGATAACATGGATTGTTTTCGAGAAAATTGGCAGTGAACACTATACACTTTGATGGCATATGTTACGAAAATCAAAAGTGCCATTAATTACTTTGAAACTTTGCTAACACACATTAAGGACTTAATTTGCTCTTTTAAGATGCATCTTCGCTACTGTGTGTGAGAAAAAACTATTCCTTTAAGATAGCGATCTTCAAACTTTTACGACGTGTGGAACCCCGCCAACATGTCGATATTTTTGAGGAGGAAAAAAATTTTTGTACACATTTTTCTCTAATTATTTAATATACTTATCTATATGTACTACAATACAATATATATACTACACAATATACCACTAAGTAAAAATTAAAGTAAGACTTTAAAGTTAAAGTAAATATTTATTGAGTAATTAAAAAAAGAGTACCTAAATATATATAATCAAAGACTGGGATGTGCTTGGATATTTATACATAATATGTTAAAATCAGCTGCTATTGTCGTAAGTGGCAATCGCATTTCAAATTCTGTATTAAGCGCATTGCGATACTTGGTTTTTGTCGCTACGTACGTAAAAAATGATTTTTGGCACATGCACGTAGTTGCAAAAGGCATTAATACATTTATTGCCTGGTCAGCAATTTAAATAAATAATAATTTTATTTAGCATGTGCTATTCCTTACAATTTACAAACAAAAAGTATCAAAAAGAAAAAATTTACAAATAAGCAAAATATTTAGTGCAAATATAATTCCATTAAATTTTTTATAAACATATTTATATTTACAGAATTCTTAATGCCCTCCGGTAGCGAATTGAAAAGTCTAAGGCCATCTCCAAACATCTGTTTTTGCAAATAAGTTGTTTTTGAAAATGTTATATTATAATTTTGTCCAGAACGTATATTATATGAATGCAGTTCAGCACGCGTGACTAGATACGATACTAGATACTTTGGTAATATATTTTTACGCATTTTGTATATTAATACCAAATTAGCCTTTTCAATTTGCTTCCAAATAGGAATCCACTGTAAAGTTTTCAACATTAAATCAATTGAGGTATATCTACTGCAACTCAATATAATTCTCATACATTTATTTTGCAACCTTTGAAGCCTATCCAAATCTGTCCTTTTACATGATATTAATAGTGATGCACAATAGCTAAAGTGGGGGTTAATTAGTGTATTATAAATTAAGTGTTTACTCTCCGCAGTTAATGTGTCAGAAATTCTGTTGAAAAAACCAATTTTTTTACCAATTTTTTTACATAGATAATCAACATGACATCCAAATGACAACTGAGGATCTAGAATCACCCCCAAATACTTAAATTGTGTAACTTTTTCAATTTTAGTGTCATTAATGTAAATATCTAAGTTATTATCTAAATAATGTTTACAATTTTGTTTTGTACCAAGTACCATATATTTAGACTTATTAGAATTTAATTTTAATTTGTTAATGCATAACCATTTGTACAAAATTTTCAGTTCGTTATTCAACCGGTAAGTAATATCCTTATAATCTCTACCCGATATCGCTATTAGCGTATCATCTGCAAACAGACTCACGAAATATTCATTTAGTACCTTATACAAATCGTTTATATAAATAACAAACAACAAAGGGCCTAAAACACTACCTTGTGTTTTATACCATATAGCTGTAATTTTTGCAACAACCTTGACCTATCAATGGTTTCAAATGCACGTTGAAGATCAATAAAAACACTTAATACAACCTTACCGTCACCAATTGCTTCTTTCCGTTTGGCACACACAAAATTTAATGCTGTTTCACACGATTGCTTTTCACGAAAACCTGACTGTCCTTCATAAATAAGATCGTTATATTCAAAATATGTCCTTAGCTGTTCACATACTAATATCTCTATAATCTTGTCAACAACCGGTAACAAATTAATTGGTCTATAATCGCTCGGTTGTACAGGTGAACAAACTTTTGCTACTGGCACTATAGTACTCGTCTTAAGATTCACTGGTATAGACGCTGTAGATAGTGACGTATTTATTAAGTACAGTAATGGATATCCAACCACCACAAAAATATTCTAAATATTTCAGGATATTCTTTATAAATCTCTAGCCAAAAATCAAGGGAAAGGCGACGTAACCAACGCGAAGAACGCTGCTCCACTTGTACTTGCATAAATAGATAAACCACTTATAGTAACTTATACGTGTGTACTTATAAAAATAAAAAGTTTTAAGAGTATAAATTTTCTTGAATTTTGTAATTATCGATAAAATTTTTTAAATTTTCGCTGAACCCCCAGAGAGGTTGTGCGGAATCCCAGGGTTCCGCGGAACACAGTTTGAATACCGCTGCTTTAAGAGATTATTGCAATCAATAACATGAAGACTTGAATCAGTTTCATTTATATCTATTTTGGAGTTATTTAAAAAATATTTATGTTTTCGGCAGTACACCATTATCACCCTTTAACATTTTTATTAAGCATTTTCAGTCCATATTCATTAAATTGACATTTACTAACTCCTGTTTCAACTAACTCCTGTTTCAGTTGTATATGATTAATAAAGGTCGCAAAATTAGATTTTTTGCAGTTATCGATGTCTCTCTCTGAGTCTCTCATCCAATACACTTTATAATTTATCACTAAAACTTGACGTAAAAAGTTTCGTAAGAACCAACAGAAAAAAATGCCCCCGGGAGTAAAATAAAGGAGATATCTTTGACGTCAGCCAAATATAATTAAATTTAGTATTATAGCCTGGCCAAAGTAACCCTAATTGTTTTCATTGTCGTCGAATAACACCCGCTCTTAACTGGAATTATTCTGATGCAAATATCGCGATTGCATTAGGAAAAGGCAATACACGTTACACCCCTCATATTATATTCCTACCGCTCTAACACTAAGAGATTGTCGGCTGAAAATGACGTTAAGCACCCTGTGATTCGAATAAAAATAATTAATTCATTGTTCATTTATTTCAGGTCTGGTTCAAGAACAGACGGGCAAAATGGAGGAAACAAAAGAGGGAGGAACAGGAGCGAATGCGAAAGATTCAAGAGGAAGACGTCTGCAGGCCCGCAGTCGATCAAGGGAGGCTTATGCCGCCTCAGAATTTCACCGATGATGATTCGTCTGATTTGGAGGTCGCCTAACTGGGATGTGGGTTCTCCGTTTTTGTATCTAGTCAATTGTTATTTTGTAAATAATCGTTTTGTTGCGCAAGCAACTGTACAAACTGGAGCATTTACGACACTTTGGTGGGTCTCTAATATTTTCCCTATAAAAAGTACTTAAGATGTCTTGGGCTCGACGTTTGAGAAAAATATTGAAAATTGCAACATTATTTTATTATTTTGTTTAAGATGTAAATATATTTCGACTTTTCTGTAGAATACTTCTTTTATTTGGGGCGTACGATGTGTTTTTTTTAAATAATTTTTTATAATTTTCGGTCTTTCATTATTCGGATATGGACAAGGGGTATAATTTGCATTCTTTTGTTACACTAAAAAATAATTTTGGCGTCTGTGTTAGCCTCAAATTTTTTGAATATGAAAGATATTTACACACACTTCAAACATTGAAAAATATAAAATACCGACGGAATTTTTTTTTATTGATTTTAAAAATATTCATATATCTAAAAAAATCACAAACAAAACGTCAAAAATAGAAACATCTTTATCAATTAAATGAATCGGTATTATTAAGGTTTCCACTGTTAAGTTTTTCTCAAAAGAGCTCGATACTCTGTTTATCTCTTCAGGAAATACGAGAAACTCCACAAAAGTGTCGAAATTCGCCCAACCCGTACTTACTTTCCTTTACATTCCTAAAATTTTGTAAATACGGCTGTAGTTCTGAAATAAAAATTGTTATCTTTGATGTACATAGGTAGTTAGTTTTTTTAGGATAAGTTTGTGTATTATGAATTGACAGTAACCATAACTTATCAAAATTGTTCTAGGATAAAAAAATACAATAAATTAACACTTCTTATTATAGAAAATTTCAAATTAAATATATACTCCATTACTATATGTAATATAATAAAAGCATTTTTAAAAACAGTAGACGTAATTTTATTTAACCCTTTACAAACAGCTGTGTAGCATAGCTAAAATTTGTTATATATTTTTATTTCTCATAAATAATACTACCGATACTACAACTGCAAATATTACATACTTCAATTCAGTATCTATGTATGTAATGTAATAAGATTTAAAAAAATGTAGTTAGAAACGTTCAACGTATCATAATTATAATATTGAAATTTTCTGCTTGAAGTGTCACTGTGTTTTAAGATTCTACAGTGTCAGCAGAAGACCATAGAAGAAATCACAGAAAATATAGGTTTGCACTATATTGTCTGTGCTACAATTTTCTTCGAAATTTTTAACTCGAAGATGTAATTGTGGAAAGGTTGAATTTTTCTCTAGTTGTTAATCATTCCGTTTTCTGCACGTGACGCCACTATGATCAAGGTCGTTGCTTGGAGAATAAACAAAATTTAAACCTCACTTTTACCCTTTTTTTATCTTGAAATGCTGGCGTTTTATAGACAAGAAATCGTACCTTATGTAAGACAATGATAGAACAAGTAGATCCATCCAGGAAGTGGCGATGCGTATGGCTAAACTAACTTAATTGTTCGCATTGAAAGTTCACGGAGAACATGTAAATATCAGAAAATGTACCTTTCCTGTTTTGCCCAGCTTTGAAAATATACTCAATAGGTTTCCCAAAGGCATTCCGAGGGATGTGATTATGTTTATAGTATTATATGCGATTTTCTGTTATGTTCAACAGGCGTGCAGTAAACGTAAGACAAACATACCAGGTAAAAATACACTTTTTCTTTCTTATTTTGAATGTATGAGGGTGGTCTGAAAAGTTTCCGACTTCAACATAAAGATGGCAGCACTCGTAAATAAAAGCTAGTGAATTTCGTTGTTCATCTGTTGACAATTACTCACCAAAGTTCCAGCCATTTTGGACGCGCAGTTGTTATTTAACAGTCGTTTGAGTGAGTTGATGTGAGTGTTTTTATGAAAATGGACATAATCGAGTATCGAGCTGTCATTAAATATTTGTTTTTGAAAGGCAATACGCCTACGCAAATCAAAGATGAATTGGATTCTGTGTATGGGGACTCTGCACCATCATTTACCACAGTGAAATTTTGGGCAGCTGAATTTAAACGTGGCCGTAAGAGCTTGGGAGACGATGAACGTTCGGGACGTCCAAAAACTGCAACAACCGACGAAAACATCGCCAAAGTTCACTAAATGGTGCTAGACGACCGCCGAATTAAAGTGAGAGAGATAGCAGGGGTTATGAGCATGTCAAAAGAACGTGTTTGTCACATATTAAATTAACATTTAAACATGAGAAAGCTGTCCGCGTGTTGGGTGCCGCGGTTGCTCACGTTGGACCAAAAACGTGTTAGAATGAACATTTCCAACGCTCTGTTGGCGCAGTTTAGGCGCAATAAATCCGAGTTTTGGCGCCGATTAATATTGTAGATGAAACTTGGATACACCATTATACGCCCGAAACAAAAATACAGTCGAAACAGTGGACTGCAAAGGGGGAACCGCCTCCAAAAAAAAGCAAAAACTGTTTTTTCGGCTGGGAAAGTGATGGCGACTGTTTTTTGGGATAGTCATGGAGTTATTTTAATCGATTATCTTCAAAAAGGAAAAACCATTACAGGAGCATACTACGCATCATTACTTGACAAGCTGAAGGCAGAACTTGCGGAAAAACGGCCACATTTGCAGAAAAAGAAAATCCTGTTTCACCAAGACAACGCACCGTCTCACACCTCAGCGGTTGCCAATGCGAAAATCCATGAATTACGGTTTAAACTGCTTGACCATCCGCCTTATTCACCAGATCTAGCCCCAAGCGACTTCTTTTTGTTCCCTCATCTAAAAATTGCGCTCGAAGGACAGAGATTTTCGTCAAATGAAGAGGCAATCACCTTCGTGAACAATTATTTTGCAGAGAAAAACGCCGAGTACTATTTGGACGGGTTACAGACATGGGAGCATCGCTAGGAGAAGTGTGTAGAGTTACAAGGAGACTATGTTGAAAAATAAAAAAAAATTCTGAAAAAGTGTCTTGTATCTTTGTTAGGTCGGAAACTTTTCAGACCACCCTCGTAATGTCAGTTGTCTTATACCCTGAAGAAGTCTTATATAAATGGTACAGTGAAAAGATATTGCTTCTAACCTGTTTAGATTTTCTAAAATGCTGTACAAAAATTATGCATATAAATCATCAGGGTTTTGCGAAAACCATCCACTAAAGATAGATATGAAGCATGAGGAAGCGAAAAATATTAAGTGTAGTTTGAAAACATAAGTGTATATTTTTCTGTGATTGTCCAAGCCAGTAGCAACGCTTAGTTGGCCACGTCCCATACACGCTCTATACTTCTAACATTGTTACAGTTTGTGCTACTATGAGGAAACTTCACTGTAAAAGCATCATAGAACTTTTAAACATCGTTTTAGGGAAAAAACGTAGCTGTTTGTTTTGCTTTGATAGGAGGAAGCAGTGCTGAAGATTTGTGGAATTGTATAGAGAATGAAAAACCAGTTAATGTAATTCTTAATCAATTTTAAGAAAAGAGTTCAAGATATTAAACAAATATTCAATTCTTAGTTTTAGACAACAGTGTATGTCAGAGTATGTCAGACTCTGCGCGCACTTGCGACATTCTGTAGCATTATTATTTAGCCCTCATAATGAACACACAGCAGCAGACGCCAAGTGCGTTAATATTTCTGTGTTTTCTATTTGATCGGCTGAATAGTCGGAACGACTGAAAATCGCCCTAAAGTTTTCTATAAATAAATAGTATAACTTTGAATGGGGGACATATCATACGTTTATTTTCTCAAATTCTTTCACGAAAGCTGATTTTTTTATCTACGTATTCCGTACCTTTTATATCCTGCTGCTGGACAGGAGTAGATTTGTATACATATTTTTCATATCACACAGAAATTTAACAATGAAGATACACAAACACAGCGTATCTTTACTAGATACTGAAATAAGTGACTTTTATGAGATGCTTGCAGTACAAAAATATTTTTACAATAAACAGCACTTAAATTTTACTAAGCATTAAACTATTTCGGTTCTAATAAAAACTAATACGAGTACTTCATGCATAAAGTGGCGAATTTATCACCGTGTTACAAACACCTCCTAAACCGATAAACTGAAACCTAAAATAAATGTAATACATTGAAAATGTGGCATATTCGCCCATTTTCATTTCATTGAACTAATGTTGGCCGTTTGTTATTTGCCCACCTAACGTCCTGTTGTCATATCATATCAGTTACATTGGTATTATGTAGTTCACTTAAACTAGATCAATGTCAGAAGTCATTGACATTGAGGTTCAGGAATTAAACACAGTGCATTAAAATATTGTATAAAGTACTTTTTATTAAAAACTAAATAGTTTTTAAAAATATTTTAAACAGATTAGTAAGAATTTTTAATTATTTTATGTTATTTTATATTTTTTATTATTTTATAAGAATTTTTTAATATGTACATTTTATAAAACAGCAAAAATAATTAATAATAATTAACATAAATTAGTTTTACAATTAGTAACGTATGGCTATTCACATATAAAAATTAAAATATTAATATTTTAAATATACTTCAATGCTTGACGCTTCGTCGTCATTCATATAAAAAATGTGATGGTGACTGTAAAATCATCAGTCGCAAAGTCATACAAAAGCTATTTTTAGAAAAATATTTTCAATTTCAGTTTCACTCCCTGCCACTACGTTCGTTTCAAACAGTTGGTTTAAAAGGTAACAACAGACAACAGTGATAAGATCACACACACAACCAGTCGTGTACCTAGAACTTTTGCCGCCCGGGGCGGTCTCCATTTGCCTCCCTTTCTAAGTCAATCAAATGGTGGTTTTTATAAATCAATAAATATAAATAAATAATTGTAATTGAGACAAACTATAGGCGGAGAACTTTTTTAGCATTGGATGCCATATTTAAATTAGGCAGTAATAAAGAAGACTGCATAAGTTGATAAACCTATAAATGCAACTTTTATAAAAATACAAGATACTTTTTTAAAGGCCACAAGAAA